AAGAGGGCTAAAGAGAATGTGTACTGACCTGAGGATATATCCAGGAAGTTGATTTTTTTTTCACTAGATCCCTACTTTGGCTTATTTCCCTGTGATTGTCTCTTTTTCCAAGAAGTAGAGCTCAGCAAAATATTTTCCATTATTTGAGGGTTCCAATTTTGACTGATTGAGGCTTTACTGTCCTTGCTAGGGATAAATGTAAGGTCTTGAACTTGGATCCAGGAAAACAACTGTACAATTACCAGATGGGGGAAACCTGGCTTGGCAGGATCCTCGGAGAGAGCCTAGGGGTTTTAGTTGTCAATGAGCCCAACATGAGTCAACGGCATGGTGCTACTGCCAAAAAACTGATGTGACCCTCAACTGCATCAGCAGAAATGCACGGTCTGGATTCAGGCAGTTATGGTCACACTCTGCTCAGTGCTGGTTAACCCACAAAATAAGTTTTACATTCACTTCTAGGAGCTCCCCTTGAACAACACAGACAAATCAAAGCATGTTCAGAAAACCGCAACCAGAGTGGTGAGGGAACTTGGGCCCATACTGTGAGTATGTGAAGGAACTGGGGTTATTTAGGAGGGATAAGTAAAGACTCAGGAGAAGTAGCTTATGGGTCTTCAAGTAATTAATAGATTTGCTTCTCAAAGGGAAATAAACTTGCTCAGTAGAGCCAGATGATAACCAAGACCGGTAGGTGAAAACCACAGGGAGAAGGTTTCAGCTCTCTATAAGGATGAGCTCTAACAATCAAACCTTCCCCAACATGAAATGGACGACCTTAGAGCCAGGAAGCCATCCAACCATCAGCTGCATGATTATCTGGCAGGGATCCGAGCACCAAGTTTGGATAATTTAAGGTTATCTAGGTCTACTAAAAGTACATTTTAGGTTCCTTCCAAACCTGACATTCTTTTTCTGTGATTTGACCTTGAATGGAATATTCACCATCAAAATCCTGAAAACTTAACTACAGGGCTAAAATCCAACTGATGAGATGAAAGATAAACCTGAAGTGGAAATAATCTATTCCATTTCTGACTGGGGCTGCTGACAATAATCTATTTGAAGGTAAATTGACCAAATGGTCCAATCCAGGGCTTATTTCTAACATATGAGTTTCAAAAGTCAAGCCTAAAAGCCAAATTGGAAATATCTGCACATTCTCTTCAGCTGGTGATAGCTCCTGCTCAATTGTGAACGGCCTCCTGAGATGTCATCATCTGACGTAAGGCTGCCGCCAGTTCGCCTATTCCTGAAACAGGAAAAGGCACAAAGTATGAAGTTAAGGAAGTGAGTGTTTTACCCCCAACGTCCTACACCAGTGCATCGTCATGGTAGGTCATAGAGCCAGAGGCCCCAGTAAGGTATTAGACAAGTTGCTGGAAGCACCACTGCTTAGCATAGAGCATCCAACTAAGATCTAAGCACCTCAGATCCAAATCCAAGTGGTTTTTTTCCCTGAGGAACAGAAAACACATTCTGGGAATTTATGGTCCAATCAGGCTCCTGTTCATCTAGATTAAGGTAACTAATTTTATGAATTCTATTTCCCAAGGAAATTTAATTTAGGAAAGATTGTAACCATTCTTCCAATCCTTAAGCTGCATCACCATCTTCTCAGTGGTTAGACTTATGTCTCATTCATTTTACAACCTGTGACTACAAGGGTGGTGTAACCTCCACCTCAGCACCTAACTTCGTGACAGAAACTTACTTGTCCACACAGTGGATGTTCGTTTGTGAGGTGAAATTGTTTCAGAAACTCACCAGCTCATCAAAGTTATCTGACTTGGCACATTTATACCCATGGGGGAACGTCAGCAGCTGGGAGTGGCTGTGGAGGGTAATGAAGGCCTTGACTCTTGGTGAGGTCCACTAGGGATTTCCCTTAAACTTCAGAGTTGGCACTGGGTCCACGCTACGAATCAGAGCAAGGGTTGTTACTGACTCCAGGTCCTGATGGCATGCAGAAGCAGCCCAGTAAGGACAGTGAGCTTTAAGAAGATACTGTAGGGAGGAGGTTACCAGGCATCACTAAGTTCCTGCTCTGGAAATCAGAGAATGTCTCATTCATTTTACAACCTGTGACTACAAGGGTGGTGTAACCTCCACCTCAGCACCTAACTTCGTGACAGAAACTTACTTGTCCACACAGTGGATGTTCGTTTGTGAGGTGAAATTGTTTCAGAAACTCACCAGCTCATCAAAGTTATCTGACTTGGCACATTTATACCCATGGGGGAACGTCAGCAGCTGGGAGTGGCTGTGGAGGGTAATGAAGGCCTTGACTCTTGGTGAGGTCCACTAGGGATTTCACTTGAACTTCAGAGTTGGCACTGGGTCCACGCTACGAATCAGAGCAAGGGTTGTTACTGACTCCAGGTCCTGATGGCATGCAGAAGCATCCCAGTAAGGACAGTGAGCTTTAAGAAGATACTGTAGGGAGGAGGTTACCAGGCATCACTAAGTTCCTGCTCTGGAAATCAGAGAAAGATACTCATTCTCTTCCTAAGGGCATAGTCAGGAAACCTAACTGATGTGATTCTGGATACATCTCTTCTTTAGAAATATGGTTCCTCTACATGACAAAAAGGGCTATCAAATTAAATCATCTCCTCTCTGTGGGAGTTGTTGGGGGCAAAAGCTAGATTTAATATTATAGATGGAATTCCTGCATTGGGTGGGAGTTTACAAGTTCATTTTTCTGGGATTGTGTCCAATTCTTAGAGTCTAAGAGTAAAAGATTCTATGCATCTGCTCTTCCAAGTCACAAAGCCACAAATATGAGGAACCTCTGACACCCTTTCTGTGGTGAGGAAATCACAAGGCCACCTTTGGCCTTGATTCTCTCCGTAACTGAAGTTGTTCAGGACCACCGAAGCGGGTCCACTGTAGGCCTCGCTGGAGCTCTGAATGATAGAGAACCTCCAAGGGGATGGTAGGGGCTAGGATTCCCCAGGCTAAGTCATATGGGCAAAGTGTAAATACAACCTCTGTCACCTTATTTTTAAATTATTTAAGGATAACATTTCAGAAAAAAAATTGACATTAAATTGATGGGCATTGCTCAATATTTTGGGTCTGGTGTTTCGGGCTTTTTTTTTTTTCCCCCTCTATACAAAAAAAAAAAAAAAAAAAATTGGAAAAGCAATGAATGAAATTGCCACTCATCCATATCCTGTCACAATTCCCTAGTGTGTCCTGTCTCGGTTCCACAACTCTCATTAATTCATTTGTTTTACAAATATTTAGCAATTGCTTCTATACTGCAGACACTGTGCTGGGTGTAAGGAATACTACAGCAAAAAAGACACAGCTCCCAGCATCTCTGTTATTGTAGCCTAGTAAGGAACAACCAAACAAATTTCAGTTTTATGATCAGTGAAACATAAGAGATTTTAACTGGTGCCTGAAAGCACGCAGGAGCCCCCCAACTAGTCTGCCACTGAACCCCAAAACATAAGAGCAGCAAGTCAACAAAACCAGAGCAGCAAACTAGTATTTTATCTTTGAATCTATTTTGAAAATCAATTTCTTAATCCTATTTCTACTTCTTTTCAATGTTCTTTCTCGAAGCATCTATAGATGATGTAATGCTTCTCTTCCAAATAGATCCTAACCCCCTCTAGTGGTTGGTTCTGGGCTTCCTGAGGCCTCCCGCCATTGCAAAAAGTCTCGCTCTGGCAGCCCAGAAGCCGAACCGGGCTACAGCTCGTGGGAAAACCAAGATGTGAGAGCAAATATATTAAATGCTGCTCAGACCTCTGTGACAGCACTGCGCTTCTGTGAAGAGAATTTTCTTAAGTGTTTTTCAAATAGCTTTTTAAATGGCTTGAATCCTGAATGGGCTTAGCAGACTGACACACTGCAGAGCCCTGCAAACCAGCCAGTTGGCCAGACAGCTGTCTGACCATCCCTGGGGCAAGTCCCTGCGCTCACCTCCAAAAAATGCATCCCATTTCCAGTTAGGATCAACACTGACACAGAGACTTCTAGATAGATACCTTAGACCGGGTCTTCTGCCACATGTGATTCTTCAAAATCCAACCAAAAAGAAAACAGAAAAAAAAAAAAAAAGACAGTCATTCAGTCTAACAAAAAGTTCCTTTTAGAATCCTATTAATTTCCCTTGCTCCCTCCCAGGAAAGCCCCTTTGGAATTGCAGCATCCCCCTTGCCCGCAGAGATGGGGATTGTCCTCACACAGGGTTCTGCTTGGGGGTCTCTCACATCTCATCCAGACGAGAAGTGGATATTCCCCCATCTCCTCAAGTAAGTGCTGCCAAACCATGTTCCATAGAACACCAGTTCTGTTAAATGCCAAGAACAACAACACAACAGAAAGGAGGGCAGGAGGGGATCCGTGATCAAATATTTGGAGAATATATGGGGCTAAATTGGCAAATTCACTTCAGAACTTCTAATGATTTTTAATACTTAAATTTTTTGTGAACCTCTAAGAAAGGGATATAGTGGGGGGTATTTTCTAGACTTGACTGTGGAAGGAACCCTTTATTCATACAGTATCTCATGGATAAGCACTAGAATTGGGATGAGTTTCTTTGAAAACGCTACCATAGGCAACTCTCTCCAAAAATGAACTTGAAGCTGTATTCATTTTGAATATATTGTATTCATTTTGAATATACGCGGGGGTCATGGTTGCCACAATGGTGTTTTGTGGTGAGATTTCAAAGGGAAAAAAAATACTGCATAACTCCTTGTAGTGACATTACAGAGGATTTCTTCTATAGATTGTAAGTAAAATGCTAGATGCATGGTAATGCCTCCCTAAATCCTACTGCAATCTAATTGTCAGCAGGTAACATCCACCCCCTCTTTTCTATCAATCCTACTGCAAAAACACAGAGATAATTGGAACAAATCTCCTAGGTGACTCATGGTGAACACTGAGCTCTAACAACCCAGCCTAACAGCGGAAATGGGCTCTGGCTGAGACAACATGTACCGATATCCTGTGCTGGTTAAGAGATAATTATAAACACTTCTCTATGCCTCATTTCAGGGTCACTCTGAGAGATCAGGCATCCCACTTAGAGTGAATCAAGATCAGAAAGATTACTTTGATTTTGTTTTTGAAGTTCCTACATCTTTCCTTAGGTCCTTGTTGAGGAAGAGAAAAAGTCCAGGCTTACTGCTCTGTAAGAAAACACATATCCATCAGGGTTTGTAACTAGCAGTAACAAGATATCGAAGGTGTCCATGATGGAAGTGGGGGATGGATCATTTCCATAATCGAGGCAATCTGAACAGAAAGGACATACATGGCAACCTCACACTCCCCTTTTGCAGAAAGGGGGAAGATGGGACTGAATGTTAAGCAATGTGTTTTTTCCAAATGTGAACTAAGGATCACTGTTGGTCATGAGAATCTTCCACATACACTTCCAGGTACAATGCAGTGGTAATGTGTTTACTATGCCAGTGTCTACTTTTGTTTCTGGTCAGAATGATTTACTTATATTAAGTAAAACTCAGATATCACATATGCATTCTCTCACAAAAGCAGTAGCATTCTTCCTATTAATTCTGGTGGGGCCTTTTGCAATGGTGAGCAGTGGTATGTGTGGCTTATGGGGATCTATGAACCAAAGACATTTTTTTTAGTATTCCTTAATCCCCACACGGGGTAGCTTTCCAAAAGAACTCACAGCCAACATCAGATTACTTAAATATACGGAGACTTTGCTAAAGATACAGAGAACCGGTTAAATTCTACTTGGGAGAATTATACTTTCACTTGCCATCAACTGCAGTAGAGTTGAAGTTTCTGCTGGATTAAAATTTATTCATTTCCTGTGCTCAGCCATCCTAAGGCATTATTATTCAACTGTTAAATATCCATTTCATAATACCCTAAAGGTAACTGCATTTTAATTGAAGGGAAAAATGTATCAGTAGGTATGCACGTGGTTGCACATGCTTGAATGATCTGATGTGGATTGATTTCCTTTGCTCATGAATTAACATTCTGAGCAAGTCACTTCTGAATTACTTAAGAAATAGCAGATAAGGTCACACCCAGCCCCATGTCCTGACTCTATCACCAGCAAATACATAGAAGGGAGATACTGCTACACCCTGACTTCAAAATCAGATTTGGGAAATTTTCAGAACAACCCAAACACCGCAAACTAATTCCACTTTGGATCTGTACATCCAAGTAAACACTTCTTGCACCTGTTTATATTTTCCATTTGAGCCCCTTTTGTGATTTTAAAGATTTCTAGCACATCACGCCACAGCCCTCAGAGTTCCAGGCAGCAAAGCAATTTTTCTCTAGTCTATTCTTATGCTGAAATCTGACACCCAAGATGCTTCCTTACAACGCTTTCGATCTCTTCTAGAACGCTCATTGTGTCTTTTAACAGAGCACACAGGGGCCGGACCGGGAGGGTAGTGCCAGGGCACTGGATGGGGCAATACAAAAAAAAAAAAAAAAAAAAAAAATTGGGGGGGG